CAACTTATATTTGAAACATTAGATGTAACATTTATATTGTTTTTGTAATACGATATGTGGCCATTGAGAATAATTTTTATTTTCACTGTAACCTGTTTAATTAACATAATGAAGCTTATGGGGTATGTCACTCCTTTTACTAGTGTGCTAGTTTCTAGATTGAAATTCCTGTCACTCATCGTAACTTCTGTGATAGTACAGAGTCTCCAATTATTTATCTTGCCAAACATTTTTGAAACAAAAGTATGGAATCATAATTCCAGTGATACCAACATTCATTTCTGAAGGAACATAATGCTTTGATTAATGAAGTAAAACACCTCTGCTGATTTACTGTCTAAAATTCAGAGTGCAAACTAGCTGATCTCAAACAGCTCTTGTTAGGAATGATAGTCACCTAACAGTTGGGTTGGCAATATATAAACCAGGATAGTTGTTTAATGCTGTTGTATCTTTAAGAGAGTGCTGTAATTGTGATTGGCTGAGGTTCCTCTGACAGCCATAAGATGGAGCCAGAAACCTGGTTTGTTCTCTTCTTGAATTTTCCCTATTGCCTTTTGCCTGATCGTCGTTCTGCTGGAATTGCTGTGAGTCTTGCAAACTGTTAGCAAACTCCGTTTACTGAACTTTGTTTATGATACTGGACTTCATTTTTGGATTATCCCTGGACTGATTGTATTGAATGCTACCTGCTTTAACCGTGTATGATTTGGACTGTTTGTTGGACTTTGTTTACCCGTTTACAGGAAGTAAAACCTACATTGTACTATTCAGTGTATCTGTATGCTGGTTGTATGTTATTCCTCATCACTCTCACTACGTTTTCCTGAGTGCACTCATTCTCCTAACGGGGAATACTTCAACACTGGTTATGCGCCCAGTTCAGATAACTCAGATAATTGAGAGTTAGTGTGAATACACGATACTGTATATTTGAACTTTATGAAAATAACTTTTCAAGAACTACATGAAAAGGAACTGATTTTTTCAGAGCTACATCAGGTTTACATTATTCTTTACTCATTGGATGAAAGTTATGATGATCTTCACTGGAAGTCCTGACCAGAAATGAACTGACATTGAGTGACATAACCGGACGATTCTTAGAAGAGGCAATACGAAGGCAGGATAGAGACCAACTGAGAGAGAAACAACCACAAGAAGAGGATTTGTTTTCAACTGCCTATACTGTTAGGAAATGTTTTTCTTGTGGGGCTAGGAACATATAGCTAGATTCTGTAAGAAGGGAAAACGACAGAATATTGGTAATCACCAACTAAGAAAAATGTTAATTTAGCTATGTCTAGCAATTCAACTGTAAACCATAATTTGTGGGTAGTTGATAGTGGAGCATCACAGTGCATTACTAGAAATAGAGAGAGGTTAGGGTTAGGGTTAGAGTTATCTACGAGTAAGCAACATGTATCACTGGCAAATGGATGGAAGATGAAAGCATCTGGTGAAGGTATCGCATATTGTCCATGTGTAAATGAGCATTTACCTATGTTACATGTACCTAAACTGAAATTTAATTTGTTATCAGTAAGGGCTTTAATTAATATTGGTTATGTAGTAAGCATTAGTGGAGATAACTGTATAATAGAGAAAGAGGGTAAAAGTGTTACTGCTACTTTAAAGAATGATTTATATATTATACATGATGACCAGTTGCAGATGGCTAACTCAGTTTATAACAATGTTAAGCCACATGACGATTGTATACATTTACTGCATAGATGTCTGGGGCACATCAATTTCAAAATGCTGAAACAAACTGTTAAAATTGTTAGAGGGAGTAAAATTAAAACCCTGTAACAAGTACTTAAACTGTAATGCCTGTAGCCAGGAGAAAAGTAAGGTTACTCCAGCAAACAGACTGAATGGGTTTAAGACCAAAGAACCTTTAGAGGTTGTATTTGCTGACATAATTGGTCCTAAGAAACCCAGTTTGGGAGGTGCCTGCTATGTTTTGAGTACAATGGACCATTACTCATGGTACGGTTTCTGCTATCTAATGAAAAACAAAACAGAAACGTTCCAACGTTTCTTTAATTGGCTAAGATTTGCAGAAAGGAAAATGAGACATAAGGTAATTACTTTAGTTACAGATAACAGGACTGAGTTTATTAATAATAGATTCCAAACGATGTTGAAATTGGCTGGTATCGAGCATAAGCGTTCTGCACCTTAAAGGCCACAATATAACTCGTTTATAGAACGAAGAGGGCAAACGTTACAAGCCATGGCTCGTACTATGTTACCTGATTCAGATTTGCCTGAAACACTGTGGGGTGAAGCCATAATGTGTAGCAACCATGTGTTAAACAATGTGGTGAACACAACAACTGGTGAATTGCCATTCACTCGTTGGCATGGCAGAAAACCAAATTTAAGTTATGTACATACATTTGGAGCTTCAGCATGGGTGCATATTCCCTCACAAATATGACTAAAAGGGCAACATAGAGCTAGGAAATTATTTTTTGTAGGTTATGAGGTCAACGATAGATCGTTTAGATTTTGGGATCCAGGCACAGGTAATGTTTACTGTAGCACTAGTGCTAAATTTCTTGAGCACGTTGGGTGACATAAAGTAGAACAGGAATCTAACAATGATGTTGTTATCGACACCCAAGTAGTCCCTAATGATGAGATAGTTAAACCATCAATAGCCATTAAAGAGGAAGAACAGGCACAGGAGGAGGTAGAAGAACAGGAGCAGGTGGAACAGGAGAGTCCACCAGTAAGCCCTGAGTTACCTAGACGTTCAACCCGTGTAACACGACCACCAGATAGATATCAGGCTAGTATAGTATGCCAAGTAAATATAGTTCCTACTAACTATAATGAACTGAAACTGTATTCTGCTAAGGATCAGGCTGTTTGGCAGGAAGCAATGGATAAGGAACTGAAATCCTTACACAGTTTGGAGGTATGTGAAAATGTCAGGTTACCACCAGGTGAGCATGCCATAAGGTGTAAGTGGATTTATAAAATTAAGACAGGTATGGATGGGACTGTTACCCATAAAGCCAGGTTAATAGCACAAGGGTTCGATCAGTCAGCCAATGACTATGATGAGGTGTTTGCACCTAGTCTGAAGGCTACCACATTATGAGCAGCATTAGTGTGGGCAGCTAAGAAGAAATACACAATAAACCATTTAGATGTGGAGACGGCATATCTTCATGCACCGTTGCAATATACTATATATTTAAAGAAGCCTTTAGGGATAAAAACTGATAACAAAACTGATTGCTGGAGATTAAAAAGAGTCTATATGGCTTGAAGCAATCAGGCTATGAATGGAACCAATGCATAGTGAAGGAATTAACAGAGATAGGTTTTGTAGCTGGCATGGCTTATCCATGTTTATTCAAAAAGTAAAGTGATGGTGTAATTTCATTGTTACTATTGTTCACTGATGACATAGCATTAATCACTAAGACTGATCAAGAAACTACTGGGATTATTTCACTGTTAGAAAAGAAATTTAAAATAAAACATTTAGGTGAGATTAAACAGTATCTTGCTTTGAAAATAGATAAAATTAAGGGAGGCTACAAAATCTCACAGGCAGATAAAATTAACCAGTTACTGAAGAACTTTAAAATGGAACTTTGTAAGCCGGCTAAGACGCCAATGAGCCAGGAGTTTAGCCACAGTGATGTGCAGTGTCCTGTTTTTGATAAAGATATTTATCAATCATTGATTGGTAGCTTATCCTATCTCAGTAATTGGTCTAGGCCAAACATAGCATATAGTGTCAACCAATTAGCCAGGTTTAATGCTGAGCCTACTGAAAGGCACTGACAAGCTGCTAAGCATGTGTTGAGATATCTTAAACAAACGATGCATTATGCATTATATTTGGAGCTTAAGGATGAACTAAGTTTAACTGCATATGCTGATGCAAGTTTCGCTACAGACGTACCTACATGTAAATCAACGTCAGGTACTGTAGTGTTATTAGGAAAGGTGTTAATTGGATGGCGGTCTATTCGACAAAAACATCTAAGCTTATCAACAATGGAGGCTGAATTCTCATGTTTGTCTCTATTATGTACAGACTTAGTATGTTATAAACAACTAATGATGGGAATTGATGTAAAGGAACCTATTGTTGTATATGAAGAGAACCAATCAGCAATTCAGATGGCTTCCAATCTTGCGTAAAGACAAGATCAAAACACACCTATCTACGTTATCTAAATGTAAGACAATGTGTTCAAAGTAAAATGATTACACTGGAGTCCTGCATGTCAGAGAATAACATTGCAGATCATTTCACGAAAGCCCAAGGCACTGTAAAACATAAGACTTGTTGTGAGGAATATGGACTTAAACTGTAAGGTTTTATATATTGTCCTATACAAAGGGGAGAATGTTAGGAATGATAGTCACCCAACAGTTGGGTTGGCAATATATAAACCAGGATAGTTATTTAGTACTGTTGTATCTTTAAGAGAGTGCTGTAATTGTGATTAGCTGAAGTTCCTCCGATGGCCATAAGATGGAGCCAGAAACCTGGATTGTTCTCTTCTTGAATTTTCCCTATTGCCTTTTGCCTGATCGTCGTTCTGCTGGAATTGCTGTGAGTCTTGCAAACTGTTAGCAAACTCCGTTTACTGAACTTTGTTTATGATACTGGACTTCATTTTTGGATTATCTGTGGACTGATTGTATTGAATGCTACCTGCTTTAACCGTGTATGATTTGGACTGTTTGTTGGACTTTGTTTACCCGTTTACAGGAAGTAAAACCTACATTGTACTATTCAGTGTATCTGTATGCTGGTTGTGTGTTATTCCTCACCACTCTCACTACGTTTTCCTGAGTGCACTCATTCTCCTAACGGGGAATACCTCAACAGCTCTTTTTTCTTTAGTTGTTATCTGTATCTACAAAAATAACATCTTAGACATATTTGAGTGTAGTAGGTATTGTAAGCATGCTTTTCCCCAAAATTTGTCATTTAATTTTTTTCTTATTTTTCACAGAGGAAAAAAAACCTAAAATCAAGAAACCAAAAACTGAATTTCCTGTATATACTGTGGTTGAAACAAATGCATATATACCATCATATGATCATGGGACTTCTATTGAAGAAATTGAGGACCAGATGGATGATTGGTTGGAAGACAGGAACAAATCTCTTAAAAAAAAGGCAAGTATATATTTGTTCTAAAAGGATAAAGAAAATGAAGACCTGGCAAGGAATTATACATATTTATTCTAATATTTATAGGTTGCATTTGAGTAAGCAGTCAAAATAATGATTATCAATTCTGACAGAGGCAAAGTGTCTCTCATATAGCATGTCAGGGCTGAATTATTTAACATATATTTAATATTTATAATTATATGTCTGATCCCACTATTTTTTTAGAATAAATATATTATTAGAACAGCTGCTCTAATTCTGCACTTTGTTTTAGTTATCTTCTTTGTTGTCTTATGCAGATGAGAAGTAACATTGAATGAACACTCCTTTCTTCCTGGCCCCAAAAAGAAGTATATACATTGAGCTCTGTGTAACCAAGTTGTTACCTGAAACGAGTTAGGGTTCAGTCCTTTAAGTGCTGGGTTTATAGTATATAAATTCTGATTTCCTTGTATTTATTTTTCTAATTCTCTTTATATATCAGAAAAGTCCTCAAGACAATGCAAATGTCAAAGCTGTTTCTATTATGCTTTGCTACCATATGCTTTATATTGTAATTTGTTACTATATACATACTATTTTATATCTGGCATGTTAATCCGGCCCCTGTAAAAATGCATGGGTCCAAGGTGAAGTGCTAAGAAGTGGAAACGTGTTGGGTGAATCATTTATTTGTCATTAGAAAAATTGGCATTTCTAAAAGATGAAAGACAAGTGAATTCTACATGTCTAAATCTACTGTATATAAGCACAATAAGAGAACCATAATTGGCAGCAGTTAATTTATCACACATTGAGGAAATGAATCTTGGCTTCTGCAAGGAAGCCAAAATGACTATTATCTTAGATTTCCAGAGCACACTGCCAGTTACCAATGCATGAAAAAAACTCCTAACTTTTCAAAATTTAAAAACTGTTAATGAACTATATGTCTTTCTGAAGATTACAATATGTCATCTGGGTCTAATCTTGATGACCAGTGATATTCTTGGAGAGTTTCATTAAAATATTTCTAAACACAGTGAACTTTTAAAAGATTATGTATTGCTTTTTCTCACATGGAAAATTTCATGGCTGTAATTCTTAGCCAAATTCTTAGCCACATGCTCCAACACTGGAAGTTTTTAAGAAGAGATTGGATAACCATTTGTCTGAAATAGTATAAGGTTTACTGCCTAAGCAGAGGGTTGGACTAGAAGACCTCCAAGGTCCCTTCCAACTCTGTTATTCTATTCTAAATATATAGAAAGGAGTCTTGATAAAATAAAATTTAAAATAAAATAAATTTACTGTTAAATGTGTAACTGGTGAGAAAAAAATCTAAATGGGCAAAATCTTTGCATTTAAGTTTATGTAAATCTTTGAATTATTTTAAATAATTAAAATATATTAAAATATATTTCTATGCTTATATTCAGTCTTTCTTTGTTGATTGAATACAGTGCAGCAATCTGACCAATAATTTGTTTCAGAATATTACAAATTGATGAGCAAAGGACACATGGGTGTGTGGGGTCTCTAATGTTTTGAGCTCTAAGCACATAGCGCTTATAAGCAAGCTTCCTGTAATCTTCTTGATTATCCTTACCAGTCTCTGTGGTAAGATATTTCCTTAATGTGACTTCAGAAGCTACTTTTAAAGTTCTCTGATCTGCTAGGTGCCATTTCAGACAAGCTGGTGTTTGTGTACATTCTTCCATTCCAACCAGAATTGATCCATTTATGAAAAAACATTAAAATGAACCCTCCTATAGCTATAATGCATATGCATTTTCATGAAATAAGAGCAGTTTTGAAACTCAATCTGTGGTCCACAAACCTGGGTGCCATGATGTCATCACAGGAGATTTGCAAAAGCTTGTAGCGATGTTATGATTTAACTATTGAGTTGTTGTGGTGTCTATGACCACAAAAGGTATTTAACAGGTCTGTAGTAAAGAAAAGGTTGAGAACCACTGCTCTAGAGTATCTGTGACAGATAGTGATTCAGACTTCGTTTGAAGACCTATTATATCACATCATATGACAACCTGTTTCGCTGGTTGATCAGTCAACGTAGCTAGGAAGTACTCTGGGATCTAGCCCGAAATTCCTTCTTTTTAGTGGGGTAATAGCGAATGAGCCCATTTCTTCTATGGGATAGTTCTTCAGATATTTGAAGATTGCTATCATATTTTTCCTTAGTCATTTTTCCTGACGGCTAAACATATCTGTATCATTGAACTGTTCCTTATAGGACTTGGTTTCCAGACCAATCACTGACTTGAGGGCTCTCATCTGAAGTCACCTCAGTTTGTCCTTAACCTTTTTTGAACTGTCTTACCTATATCTGGGCATAGTACTCTAAATAATATTGACTAGAATGGACTAAATTAATTACATCTGTAAACCAGATTCTTTACTCCTGTTCATGCACCTGAAGGTAGCGCTGCCATTTTAGCAGCTGCATCACACAGCTGGCTCATATTTAATGTGAAGATGACAAGGATACTCAGATTCTTTCCACATGTTTTACTGCCAAGTCAGGTTATCCAATGCTATACTTGTGCCTTTCATTTTTCCTATCCAAATGCAGAACCCTACATTTCTCCCTACTAAATGCCACACTATTTATTTCAGCCATTGGCCATGCCTGCCCCGATTTTTTTGAAACTTTGGTCATTCATTTAAAACTCTGTTCATCAAACTTGACAATGTTAAATAGGCAGACTTCAACTCCTAGTGGGAATTGGTTGGCTGGGGGGTTCTGGAAGTTGGAAGTCCACACATCTTAAAGTTGCCAAAATTAAGAAATATTGATTTAAAGTTTTAGCCATGGTCCTTAGTTTTGTATCACCTGCAGATCTGAGAAGTTCCTCTTCAATTCCCAAGTCATTTTCAAAGGTTACTGAGAGTAGGTCCATGAATTCCTCTGTTATTGCTTTTAGTGCCTTAACATGTAATATATTTGGTTCTGGAGATTTGAATTTAAATCCATAATATCTTGTCCAGTGTTTTGGAATAACTCTAAAAAGTTTTGCCCTGGCTTCTACATGACAGTCTTTCATACACTTAAAGACAGTTCTCATATCTCCCTATGGTATTCTCTATTTTTCTTAATCTTTTTTCCAGGCCCCTCTAAATACTCTCTGTACATTAATTTCTTTTTAAAATGTGTTTCCCAGAACTGAATACAATATCCTAAGTATAGTCTGATCAATGCAGAATAGAGAGGAACAGTGACTTGGCTTCATTTAACTAGCTTCCTATTCTGACAGAGTTTTTTATACTTAAAAGTAGCCTAACCCAACTTAAAAATAAGTAAGCTATAAGAAATTTTGTTTCAACCAATAAGGTTAGCAATTAAATATTTTACAAAATTAAGAAAAAAATCCAACATGTTATAGATGTGTATATAATAAATCCATACTTTATTGGACAAAATTTATATGAAGATTTCTGGGACTTCCGGTTGCAAGGCTTCGGCGGCGGCAGTAATCCGCTTCTCTGCGGGTCCCTGCTGCGCTCGCTGCTGAGGTACCCCCGATCCAACTGGATTTGGGGGTTGTCGCTGCCCTGAAGAGGCAGCGGAAGACAGAGGAGATCCGGGCAGGGGTCTGGGGATATCGCACCCCCTTTCCCCAGCCAGCTAGACTCCTTTTTCCTGAGGCGGTGGAGCGGCTGTCAGAAATGGCAGCCACAAAGGAATCTTCAACCGGATAAGACTGTGCAGGAGGAAGACAGAAGGAGAAGTTTTCTTGGCTGAACTGGGACATTAAGTTACTTTTAAAACACCCTGGAAGCCTGACTTTCGGATTGATACATTTATTTCCAAAAGAAGTTTGTTACGGGCGGCGAAAGTGCTGAAAGAAAGTTCACTCCCCTTCCTTACGGTGAAAGCAAATGAGCACAGAAAAACCTGCTGTTTTGAGGTAAAAACAAGCTCTTTGTTATAAGTGGGAAGGAGAGGACTAAAAAAAAAATTCTTTAAAAACTTGTTGGAGGAGACGCTTTGAAGATTATAAGACCAACAACTAATTGTAATACGGCTTTAAAATATATTTGGGATTTTGCCCCAGGAGGAAAAGTTGCAAAGAGAAGAAGAAGAAATAATTTCTGTCTGTTTGGATTGTTTGATAACTTTGACATTTGCAAATTACTTTAAGATTAAAAACATCTGGGTTGTTCTTAAAAATTTACAATGGCACCATCTGTGGATCAACTAAAAATGGAATATGAAAAATTAAAAGAAAGAGAACAAAATGGCAAGAATTCATTGGGAGCTGTCTTCCACTTTTTAGAAATGGCAGTTTCTACGTACCAGCAAATACTTGAGGAAGAAGGAGAAGGAGAAGAAGAAGAAGAAAAGGAAGCCATTTTTAATGGACAAAAAAGTTCGATTAAGAAAGAAAATAGGAAGAGAGGAAGGAAAAATGAGAATTTAAGATTCAATAAAACAACCAAGAAAAAGAAAAATAAGGTGAAAAAAAAGGTATAATGTTAGAAAGCAATTGAAAAGAGAATTACAACAGAGAGGGGAAGCTAAAAAGGTGGAGGTTAGGAGAGGGGGGGGCAAAAAGATCAGACTGGAGAAGAAAGGGAGGGAAAAAGGGAAAAAAAGCCACGGTCTGAAACAAGATATCTTTTTTAGAGATAAAGGATAAAGGACAGTGTATAATTTAAGAAAGATTCTGCAAGAGTACATAAGATAGTATTGTAGTATTTGCATTTGAAATAGTCTATTGGAATATTATAAGATTTAACAAAATATTAAAATATTAAAATGTTTTATAATGATAGATTTCAATATTTAATAAAATATCAAAGAGAATGTGTAAAATGATTAATGCTTAGTTATACTATTAATTAGAATTAGAATGGAAATTATATACTTAACTATATTATAAGTTTATTATTCTTTTTTTCCAAAATGCAATATGTAGAATGTACTAAGCAGAATCAGAATAGAAATTATGTATTATTTTAAGTGTTACTTTAGGGAAAGGCGTCACACCTTAAAAGTG